GGCTCCAACAGAGTGGTCAGAAAGCCGAACAAAAAGCCGTCCATGACACACGGACGTTGTTCCCCCCCTCCAGGGGAATCGGGAAGTGAAAAAGTGCTCCTGGGTAAACTGGAGAAGCGTCACAGTGTTTGTGGTTATGTGCCGCTCAACCCCTTGTCGCCTCTGTTTCCCCCGTTTTCTCCCTCTGTCTTTCTCTCACTCCTCGCTGTCACCCAAGCAAAGAAGCAAAGCCTTGCATGGCATCAAAGTACTTCCAAGGATCAATATTGAGACCATTGGGCGAAGCCCCGTGGACCCTCAATTAGGCATTCCGGAAACCGCAAATCTCATCATACGAGTTTGCAATTGCAACTCGGCAATTCCTTGCTGTGGCGTGTTCTCAACTCCACTGTACATCGCGTGTCGCTGACGTCTGTTAGGAACAAGGGACGAGCTAGAGGACTGCAAACTCAGAGTCACCTCCAACCGCCGCCTCCATCGCAGCCTGGGGGGTTCTGTTCGCATGCTCAGGTTTCCCGTCTGCCTTGCTCCAGCCTCTTTGAAGAGAAGGATTCGGGCTATTCCGTGCGCCCGGTTACATCTGACAGACCGGGTAATAAGCCAGCGTACCTGTCTCCACGAGATCCTCAATCACCACTCTGCAAAGCTACGGAGTGCTGCTTGAGACCTTCAGTTTGTTTCCCTCGAGGCAGCTCGGACTGCATGCAGCAAAAGTTGTGCGGAATATCTACCACAAACCCGCCTCTTAGCGTACTTCTAGAAGACCCCCGGAGCTCCTCGTTACTTCGGTTTGCTCGGCAGCTCACGGGCGGTGTCCCACTGGAGAGGCTCCGGGTTACCCTCAGGGTCCAGTTGATACCCCTGCCGGTGTCTCCCTAGTGCCTGTGAGATCCTGGTATCCCTGATTTCCCGGTCTTGTACCACCCGGCGATGGACAGGGCTGACTTTGAACCGCTCCTCGGTTCATCGCGAACGACTAGCTACCATTGGTGCTGTTCCTTGGATTAACCATTAACGGCGCCCAGTGTCTTCCTCTATGGGCCTCCCACCCTTGAATCCATGCATCTGTGGCCCATGAGAGCCGTGTTCAAATGAGGAACCAGCTTTCTTTTTACACTACGGCATACAAATCATACGATGTCTATCCGTCGAGACGGGCGGTGCCTGATTCGAAGCATGCAGACCGCGAAGACTCGAGCGCACGCGATGATGGAGCACGACGAGGGGGAGGGGTGAGACAGGATTGAGCTTTGTGTCTATCGGAGTGGTTCTACGGGGTACACGAAGGCATCTTGGGCTGGAGTTGAAAGTTTCTATATCTTTCCTCCGAGGCCCGAACCCGGCGGCGAGAAAGACGTCTGCATTTGTGTTCCCAAACCTTTGGATCCGGCTCTCCTTCTATCACGCAGACGTTTACCCATTTCTCCGTAGCGTTTGTGCATTTCTGTTGATACCCCCTTTAACATTTATCCCCGTTCCGATCTGCCCCTAAGTATCCATCCTTGACTCCGTATGTGGGCACGAGAAGTACCTACTTGAGAACCGTGAGGTTTCCCATTTTTTGGCTACCAAGTTACTATCTGCCATCAGTCAAGGACTACAGAACAGTATTCTCAATCCGAAGCCAAACAACACATTCTCCGTGCAGAATCATCACAACAATGGCTTTGACATACAAGCAATCACAGCTCGTCAGGGGTACGATCCCGGCTCTCCGTGAGCATGGCGAGACCATCACGACCATATTTTATGCCAACATGCTGCGGGCTCATCCTGAGCTTCATGACCACTTTAACAAGGTCAACCAGGCCAACGGCCGCCAGCCCCGTGCCTTGACCGGCGTCATCCTTTCCTTCGCCGCAAATCTCAACCACATCAGCGAGCTCATCCCCAAGCTGGAGCGCATGTGCAACAAGCACTGCTCCCTTGGAATTCTACCGGAACACTATGACATCGTGGGAAAGTACCTCATCCAAGCCTTTGGACAGGTTCTGGGTCCTGCCATGACCCCGGAGATCCGCGAAGCCTGGACAAAGGCCTACTGGATCCTCGCAAAGATGCTCATCGGCCGCGAGGCCCAGATGTATCGCGAGTTCGATGATGACAAGTGGAAGGGATGGCGCAAGTTCCGCATCGAAAGAAAGGTTGCTGAAACGGACGACATCTTCTCCTTCTACATGGTGCCTGTCGACGGCAAACGGCTACCTGACTTCTACCCAGGTCAATACACCTCGATCCGCGTCACAATCCCCGAGCTCGGCCACTATCAGTCACGACAATACTCGCTTAGTGACTCACCACGACCGGATTACTACCGCATTACCGTCAAGCGTGACCAGGGCGTCAAGGTCGGCAAGGGAGCCGCCACCTTCAACCTCAACCCTGGTGTCTTTTCCAATCATCTCATCGATGAGAAGAGACCGGGCGACATTGTCGAGCTGACGCATCCTACTGGCGACTTCTTCTTTGACACCCACGCCGCCGGCACTCTTCCCGTCGTTCTCATCTCCGCCGGCGTCGGCGTCACGCCTCTCATGTCCATCTGCAACACCATCATCGAACGCCAGGCTATCCGCCCTATCTCATGGATTCACTGCTCGGCCCGGGCAGCTCCCTTTGAGGAGCATATCCGCAAGATCGCTTACAGCCGCGCCAACTTCATCACCAAGTTCTTTCGCTCCCAGATCGCCGATGTCGAAGATGACGACTCCCTCTCCTCCTCTAGCGACTTTGGCCTCCGCATGGACCTTGCACGGATAGCGCCCGAAGAGCTCTACCTCAGTCATGGTGGTGCAGAGTACTATATCTGCGGTCCTGAGATTTTCATGGTCGAGATGTCACAATTCCTCATTAACCAGGGTGTCGATCCCAACAGGGTCAAGTTCGAGCGGTTTACTACGGGCGATCTGGAGTTCAAAAAATGAGGTCACCACATGCTACTACTAACGTCTTGACCTTATTGCTTTTACAGAGGTTGAAAAGGGTTCTCGGGGCGGGTTCAGGAAACGGATGAGACGGAGTTTCATGAAAGTGGTCTATCTGGGAAATGGGCACAGGAACAGGTACAGCAGCTACACAAACGGAAATGGTTATGCCTTTCTATTTACTTATCGAAAGATGCAAGTGCAGAAAGCGGATGGTATCTTATGGCTCGGGGGAATCAGAGTGTGCGTATCTCGACTGCTATCAAGAGCGTAATGCTACAACTAATTGTCTCACATGGCGCTCTGGTTGAGACTGGTCCAGAGATTTCATGTTTTCAGATTGAGCACATTCTGCAAACTCGACGATGATGATCGAGCCGATTCAATACCTCGATCCCTGATGTCAAATCGTACGCCATCTTCACCGCCTTGTACAACATCGCGGGTTCAACGCCGGGTTGACAATGACTGAGATTCCTCCATCATACGACAAAACCGGACTAGATGCAGTACAATGCAACCGTCTGACTCGCCACTATTTATCTTGCTCCTCTGAGCCCCTCACAGAGGGTCCGACCCCCAGAACTCCCTATGGAGTTTCTTAATTGGGGCCTGAAGAGAATCACTGGGGTTCTGGAGTAGACAACCTGTGTCTTACTCGCATCTGTATCCAATAACCCACGGGGAAATGCCAGTTGGTTCATTTGTGAGAGCTCAGGAGAAGAAAGCCACAATATCGCCACATGGCTAGATGGTCGTAGCCGAAGTCGCACACAGCACTCTGCGATGCGGATAATTTGCCGATGGAAAGTTTAGTATTCTGATATCACCTTCGCTAATACCCACATATCATATTCTCGTCGGCCATCTGGTCAGTATTCACGAAAGACAACAGATAAGGTAGTCAATTTATCTTGATGGGAAAGCCCTCCAGGGCCACCTCCGCTGGTGATAATGAAAAACGCTGTTAGCGCCAAAAACAGCCGAAGTTCCTCTATTCTCCTCGGTCCACCTGTATTATGCATATCGTGGGTCAGACCCGACGGTCAGTCGCCTAGGTCGTTCACGCAGGAGATCGATGATCGAAACAGAACCTCCAAGGCGTTGCCTGCCATTCATTGTCTGCAATTCGCCGATGACGCACAGTTTTCAACGGTTTTCTTGCAGCAGGACCCGTTGCGGATGCTAGTCTAGTGTCAAAGTATTGGCGTGGTTCCCCGGTGCACGTTCGGTAGAGAGAGCGGCTCGCGGCGACCATTCGCGCTTTTTTTCGTTTGGTTGTCCTTCCTGTCCTAACGGCGTCCGTGCCAACCATACAAGATCCCGCTCGCCCGCCGCATAGCCGGTAAGCGGAGAAATGGCAAGTTATTGAGCTGGAAGACTTTGCGGCCTGGTTTCGTTTCCAAAATGGAAGGAAGCCTTTTAATTACAGGAGCGCAAGCTTCAAATGGGAAGCCAAGGGTTTTCCATTTGTGGAAATATCCTCTACATATGCGGTAGCGTAGCAATGTTAGGACATCTCAGAGTAGCATGAAGTTGGAAAGGAAGCAATGTCCTAATTGAGTGCTGTATGCACCCTGACAAACGAAAACAAGACGCATACAAGCATGTACCGCGTAAGTGAATGAGAGAATGAAAGGGGGAATACGTCGAAACAAAAGGAAACCACTTCGGCGTTGTTTGACCACTACTTAGAGTATGAATATCCCCCTGACCACCGCCACCACCACTAGCCCTGATAGTATATGGCTTACGGAGTACGGATATTAGCCGCTTTAATTCGGCACAAAACTCGCCGTATTTATCCAAAGCGCCACTGCTCACTGTTCTTCTAAGAGATACGCTCATAATATGGCTAAATCGCCCGTGAGATATCGTTCTAATCCGTAGTGTTCTCCATACACGCATCATTCACAACGTCTAAAACACACATTGTCACCGTTCGGGACTAATTTTTGGCTCACTCAAGCTCGTATGACTACTGACTAAGAACTGATTCTACATTTGAGAAACACAAAGGAAATGACAATCTTCCCATTCTATAATGCGCAATATCAATACCTCCTTTGGTGGAACTTAAGAAGTGAAGACAATCTCAACACTTCCGGTACCACCCGTAATGCTCCGGCTACTGACAGTAACACCGGATCGGACGAAGCTGGAGCCACCACCGCCACCACCGCCAAATGTAACGCGACTGGTACCATAAGACCAGTCCAAGACGCTTCCACTGCCACCACCATAGTAGCCACCGCCGCCGGCCCCAGATCCTCCACTCCCACCAGACCCTGAGTTTCGAGAAGCAATACCTGCGCCACCGTTGTGACCAGATCCAGGATTGCCGTTCGCTGAGGAATCCGAGTAACCACTGATTGTTCCAGCAGCGCCTGGCCCACTTGCTGTAGCCCCACCTCCACCTCGGGCAACGTTGTAATAGCCACTGGTACCATCATTCGCCTGGTCGACTGTATATCTGCCAACGCCTTCTTGTCCTGGAGAGCCGCCGTGACCTCTATTGTCATCCGAGGTGATGTGGACTGTGTTTGGTCGTCCATCAGTGGGAAATACACTATAAGATATATCCCCGCCACCTCCTCCGCCAGCGACGACAACCTCCGCACCCCCAAGAAGGATTGCAGACGCTCCACCACCTCCGCCACCACCGGTGGTCGCTGTACCGCCGTTACCATATGCACTGGTTCCCTGGATATTTGTACCCCCGGCGCCGCCTGCAATGAGAGCATATGTCTGACCGGGTGTGACGGCGAAACTCCCAGAAATGAGTTCGCCAACTCCTGATTGTCGACCACCTTCACCACCATCACCGCCTTTGATCCTGAATTGCGCGGTTCGTGCGCACGCAGGAACAACAAATGAAGCTTGAGTGCCCGAAGACCCACTGGCCGAGACTGTTTCCGTTTGTGTTACGGTACGGCAAGCGATGGTGATAACGGTGCCTGGCACAGTTCCGACTTGTGGAATTGTTGTAAGTCCTGTCGTAGTGCCGGTCGAAGTTATGGTGACTGTAGTAAGAACAGGTGTAACAAAAGTCACAACGGTAGTAGGACCACCGCTGGGACCAGGGGCAAGGGTCGTTAATCCGGTCGATGATCTAGTTGAAGTGACGGTTACTGGTGGAAGAGGGCTTGCCGAGGGAGTCACAAAGGTGATGACACTTGTTGTGCCGTCTAATCCAGTTGGCGTAATTGTAGTTAGTCCAGTTTGCGTGCCGGTCGAAACAACTGTTGTAATGAAGCCAGTGATCGGGGGCACGAAAGTAATCACAGTCGTTGTTCCGGCAGGATCCGTTTGAGGCAGAGTAGTGACGCCTGTCTGCGTGCCAGTTGACGTAAGGGTGATAAGTCCGCCAGTGACCGAAGGCACAAAAGAGATGACAGTAGTCGTGCCGGTCGGGTTGGTTTGAGGCAGAGTTGTCACACCGGTTTGGGTGTCCGTTGATACGACCGTTGTGATGAAGCCGGTGGGAGTCTGAACAAAAGTGACGACGGTTGAAGGGCCACCGCTGGGGCCAGGAGGGATAGTTGTCAAGCCGGTGGTTGACGCCGTTGACGTGACAGTAACCGGCGTAAGAGGAGTGGAGGAAGTGACAAAGGTCACAACGGTTGAAGGGCCGCCGCTAGGGCCAGGAGGAAGAGTGGTCAAGCCAGTGGTGGATGCCGTTGACGTGACTGTGACTGGCGTAAGGGGAGCGCTGGGCGTGACGAAAGTGATTACGCTCGTAGTACCGGCCGGGTCTGTTGGAATTATGGTGGTAAGGCCTGTCTGCGAGCCCGTCGATGTGACCGTTGTCAAGCCACCGGTGAGAGATGGGACAAATGTGACTACGGTAGATGGACCGCCGCTGGGTCCCGGGGGTAGGGTCGTTAACCCAGTCGTGCTTCCAGTCGAAGTCACAGTGACGGGCGTAAGAGGTGCAGAGGGCGTGACAAATGTGATAATACTCGTAGTGCCGGCTGGATCCGTCGGGATGATAGTGGTGAGTCCCGTCTGGCTGGCCGTGGATGTGAGAGTTATCAAGAAGCCAGTAACACGCGGGACGAATGTGACCACAGTGGACGGACCACCGCTTGGCCCAGGAGGTAGTGTTGTCAAGCCTGTGGTCGACCCCGTCGATGTAACGGTCACGGGAGAAAGAGGACTCGCTGGAGATGTCACATAGGTCACAACCGTCGAGGGACCGCCGCTTGGCCCAGGAGGCAGAGTTGTCAGACCAGTGGTTGAGGCTGTTGATGTAACCGTCACAGGGGGGAAAGGACTCGCAGAGGGGGTGACAAAAGTGACGACAGTCGAAGGACCACCGCTGGGACCAGGTGGCAGGGTAGTCAAGCCGGTGGTCGATGCCGTTGATGTGACGGTGACGGGAGAAAGAGGACTCGCCGGAGGGGTGACAAAGGTCACAACTGTCGAGGGACCACCACTAGGTCCGGGGGTGAGAGTAGTCAAGCCAGTGGTTGATGCTGTTGATGTGACGGTGACCGGTGGAATAGGGCTTGCTGTGGAGGTCGCAAACGTAATGACAGTGGGAGGACCTCCACTTGGACCTGGAGGAATCGTGGTGAGACCCGTTGTACTACCCGTAGACGTGACAGTTACCGGGGCTGGCAGGGTGACGAATGTTATTACGCTGGTAGTGCCGCCAACTGGATCAGTGGGAATAATCGTCGTAAGCCCAGTTGTGGTTCCGGTAGAGGTGAGTGTAACCAGGAACCCCCTGGGAACAAATGTAATAACTGTAGCTGGGCCCCCAGGACCTCCAGGGACCGTGGTGATACCTGTAGTCGTGCCAGTAGAGGTTATCGTAACGGGAGGCGGGCTGGTTACGATTGTAACTACGGTAGTTGGGTCACCAGGTCTTCCGGGTGTTAAAGTGGTTAGACCAGTCGTCGAGCCTGTTGAAGTGACCGTGACGTAAGGAGGACTAGTAATAAAAGTGACGACTGTAGTAGGGTCTCTAGACTTTCTAGGCGTTAGCGTGGTCAGACTAGTCGTCGAGGCTATCGAGGTAACTGTTATAGGAGGAGGACTAGTTGCAATGGTCACTATAGTAGTAGGATCTCTAGGTCTTCTGGGTGTCAAAGTGGTTAGACCAGTTGTCGAGCCTGTTGAAGTGACTGTCATAGGAGGAGGACCAGTCGCAATGGTTATTATAGTAGTAGGATCTCTAGGTCTTCCGGGTGTCAAAGTGGTTAGACTAGTCGTCGAGCCTGTTGAAGTGACCGTGACGTAAGGAGGACCAGTAACGAAAGTGACGACTGTAGTAGGGTCTCCAGACCTTCCAGGCGTCAGCGTGGTCAGACTAGTCGTCGAGGCTGTCGAGGTGACTGTCACAGGAGGAGGACCAGTCGTAATGGTCACTATAGTAGTAGGATCTCCAGGTCTTCCGGGTGTTAAAGTGGTTAGACCAGTCGTCGAGCCTGTTGAAGTGACCGTGACGTAAGGAGGACTAGTAATGAAAGTGACGACTGTAGTAGGGTCTCTAGACCTTCTAGGCGTTAGCGTGGTTAGACTAGTCGTCGAGGCTGTCGAGGTGATTGTTATAGGAGGAGGACTAGTCGTAATGGTTATTATAGTAATAGGATTTCTAGGTCTTCCGGGTGTTAAAGTGGTTAGACTAGTCGTCGAGCCTGTTGAAGTGACCGTGACGTAAGGAGGACTAGTAATGAAGGTGACGACTGTAGTAGGGTCTCCAGGCCTCCCGGGTGTGAGGGTAGTTAAACTAGTGGTCGAGGCTGTCGAGGTAACGGTCACGGGTGGAGGACTAGTCGTAATAGTTACTACCGTAGTAGGATCTCCGGGTCTTCCAGGCGTCAGGGTTGTGAGACCAGTCTGCGATCCCGTCGAGGTAACTGTAGTCAGTCCCCCAGCAGGAGGCGTAACAAAAGTTACAACAGTGGTAGGATCACCAGGGCGCCCAGGGGTCTGAGTAGTGAGGCCGGTGGCAGATCTTGTAGAAGTAACCGTGACGATACTGCCGAGAGGAGAGGGAACAATAGTCACGACCGTCGTCGGATCTCCAGGTCGTCCGGGAGTCTGGGTAACTAGGCCAGTGGTTGAGCCTGTAGAAGTGACTGTGACAATGCCGCCAGCTGGGGGCGTAACGAAGGTCAAGATAGTGGTAGGATCTCCAGGCCTTCCAGGAGTCAGGGTAGTCAGCCCAGTCGTTGAGCCTGTGGATGTGACAGTAGTCAGCCCACCGGCAGGAGGCGTCACAATGGTCACGACCGTAGTTGGATCACCGGGTCGCCCGGGTGTCTGAGTAACGAGTCCAGTAGTCGACCCTGTAGAGGTGACCGTGACGATGCCGCCAGTGGGACTTGGGATGAAAGTAACAACCGTAGTTGGATCGCCGGGTCGACCGGGTGTTAGAGTCGTCAGGCCAGTCTGAGTGCCAGTAGATGTGACAGTCGTTACTCCGCCCGAGGAAGGTGGCACAATAGTAACGACTGTCGTAGGATCGCCGGGACGACCAGGCGTTAGTGTTAAAAGACCAGTCTGGCCGGGTTGAGTTCCTGTTGAGGTTGAGGTGACTAACCCACCGGTAGGAGGGGGGACAATGGTCACAATCGTGGTCGGATCGCCAGGGCGGCTAGGCGTCTGAGTGAGAAGACCAGTCTGCCCAGGTTGGGTTCCCGTTGAAGTAATCGTGACAAGTCCACCGGTAAGAGGGGGAACAATCGTGATAACTGTCGTTAGGTCGCCAGGGCGGCCAGGCGTCTGAGTGAGAAGACCAGTTTGTCCAGGTTGGGTTCCCGTTGAAGTAATCGTGACAAGTCCACCGGTAGGAGGGGGAACAATCGTGATGACTGTCGTTGGGTCGCCAGGGCGGCCAGGCGTCTGGGTGAGAAGACCAGTTTGTCCAGGCTGGGTTCCTGTTGAAGTAATGGTAACTAGCCCGCCGCTAGGTGGCGGCACAATGGTAACGACCGTTGTAGGATCTCCAGGCTTGCCGGGCGTCAGAGTCAGTAATCCGGTCTGACCTGGGCGAGTGCCTGTAGACGTAGATGTTACTAATCCTCCCGTGGGAGGAGGTACGATAGTAACGATTGTAGTTGGATCTCCAGGCTTGCCAGGCGTCAGAGTCAGCAATCCGGTTTGACCTGGCTGGGTTCCAGTCGACGTAGATGTTACTAGTCCGCCTGACGGAGGAGGTACGATAGTGACAACCGTGGTAGGATCGCCGGGCTTTCCAGGGGTGAGGGTAAGTAGTCCCGTCTGTCCAGGTTGAGTGCCAGTAGATGTAGAAGTAACTAATCCTCCTGACGGAGGAGGCACAATTGTGACAATTGTAGTTGGATCTCCGGGCTTGCCAGGGGTAAGGGTAATCAACCCAGTCTGGCCGGGTTGAGTCCCTGTCGACGTAGAAGTTACCCGCCCACCAGGTGGAACAATCGTGACGATGGTAGTCGGATCGCCGGGCTTTCCAGGGGTAAGGGTAATCAACCCAGTCTGGCCGGGTTGAGTCCCTGTCGACGTAGAAGTTACCCGCCCACCAGGTGGAACAATCGTGACGATGGTAGTCGGATCGCCGGGCTTTCCAGGGGTAAGGGTAATCAACCCAGTCTGGCCAGGTTGAGTCCCTGTCGACGTGCTGGTTATCAGACCTCCAGTAGCGGAGGGGAGACAAACAATCTGAGTGCCAGTGCGGTCAGATCCCGATGGAGGCACCGTCAAAGTTGTCAATGCTGTGCCGGATCCAGGAACTGTTATTGTTGTGCAGGGACCGTTGAAAGGGGCATCTCCGTTGTTGGGTGTGGGCTTGAGGATGAGCGCAGTGCCTGTCTGATCACTTCCAGTAGGGGGAATCGTCAACGTCGTCATAGTCGAGCCCGCATAGGGAGCGGTGACCGTCGTCAGGCTTCCTGTGAATGGAGATTTGCCGCCGGCGGTTGGATTACCTGAGCCCGGCAACCACGGCATATTTGACTCAAGGGGCGAGCAGATGTACTTGATTCCTGTAGTTTGTCCATTTTGAGGGGGAATGACAATAGTAGAAGGCTTTGATCCGGGAGGCAGTGCTGCCGTGACCGTGACGCAAGGACCTGTGTAGGGCGATTGGGTATTGCTGAAGCGTTCGCATGATTTGTCAGAAACATCTCAACTGGTCCAACGCTGGTTACTTACACAGGAGAAAGGTAGGTGACCGTAGTCGTAGCCAAGAAGTCGGAAGTCACCAAGGTAGGAGCGTTGGTGACTTTGACTGTAGTGCCCATAACAGTGAATATAGTATTCAGAGAAACTGAAGTGCTGAGATGGAGCGGAATGCAATGAACAATCTCTATGGGCTGAACGGCCGTAGGACTCGCACCAGGCCCAGTGGTTGGACAGTCCGTACTTGCTAAGCCCGGCCATGGGAGAAGAGCCATGAAGCTCATGGCAGTAGCAAGGGCAGAAATTCGTTTCATGTTGATCGACACCTGTTATGAGGCGCTCGATGCATGTAACGATGGCTGGGTACAGAGGTAGATCTTTTAAGAAACTTTGAAAGAAAAATGGATGAGATGATTATTAGTTGATTGTGCACCATGGCTTGAGAAATCAAAGGTTCTTATAATGCAATTTTATTCGACTTCAAGATATTGAAAGACGCGACATTCTTGTCACAACACATCTAGGAGCGAACAAACCTTCGTCGGCTTTCTCACCCGAGCTGAGTGAAAGTCTGTGGTTTCCGTTTCTAACCTCAAGGAGACCCGGATTCTATCCAGAAACAGCTCAACCATTGACGGCTGAGCTGGAAACAGGTAGCATCGTCAGTACCACTGACAGAGGTATCCCGGGAACCCGGGACGATTGCTAATATTCACTCCATTCGACCTCGTATCGTTTTCATACAGGGCTTTACTAGGGCGAGCTCTAGCGACCGCTTCACGATGACGAGAAGATAGACTACGGCTCATTGCGTCCAGCAGGACCCTAAGCGTAGCTGTGCTTCAACTATGGCAAGCGGAGGTAGCGGAGAAAAAGGACAAAACGAAAGGTCTTTGCTAGACGCGGAACCGAAATCTAGCTTATCAATAAGGAAGTACATGTAGTCTTGCTAGGTATGAGTTGCTGAGCTTTCGGAGATCGCATGCCGTTTGCTGCCTGTTTGTGGCGAGATAGAGACTCATTTGAAAAGTCTGCCAAAATCTCTAAATCGCAGTGCGTGGTGGTTCTGCTTGCGGACATCCTTGTCCAGCTGAGTATGAAGCTATTGCCACAACTTAAACCTCAGAGACGGAACCCCAGCGTTGGATGGCAGCTGCTTCGAGCTTACGTCCAGACAAACTTTGCCCATAGTTTAGACGAGCGGCCCTAGATTCTCGTCGCCCACATTGCGATATTCGGCAACGGATCCTGTAAGTCGAGCTTGCTTCCTGCAAACATCGAAACTCGTATGGTAGAGTCATTGTGCTGTGGGGCTCGTGATCTTCCAGTATATTGCCCTATCCTGAGTGGAACTGACTTGGCCATTATCCAGAACCAGACATTTGCCAGAGGAGCTTGGAAAGGGAAGCAAGTACAAGTCCTCAAGGCGGACGGACTACCAGTCAAAAGATCGCAAACTCCACCGGGTAGGCTGTTTTGACACCTGAACGCTATCTGCATGCAGTATGGCCACACATAATCAACACACTAGCTGGAAATGGGCAAAAAGAAGAAGCAAAACCCCCTCGTCGACGAAGTGATGCTGATTTCCTCGGATTCACTTTAGGCACACTCTTTCTCTAGTCAGGTAAGTCAAGCATTGTGTGCACTGGAAAGGCACGATGGCACTTGCGCTACCTACGGATCGGATATCGCAGTTGGCCATAGGGATATATAAAAGCTCATTTCCGGAAAGACAAGGCTGTTGAGTCAAGAATTTTGGCAGCCACTCGTACATCATTCAGCTCAGGCAGTATTGATCATCATCATCGATATGAAGTCTTACATCGTTCTACGTCTTATTCCCCTTGCACTTGCTGCGCCCCCTGTTGTCGATCCATTCCTTGAGGTGTGCGGAGTGTCCGTCACACTCTCGATGGTCACCAACACTCTCTTACTACCGCCGCAGACAATCTCTCTCTGCGAGAACTCAAACTGCGCCATTCCCCCAATCACAGCTGGGGAAGGATTTTCTCCTGCATCGACGCAGCACTATGAGGTGCCAAATACTCAGCTTCCGCAGGAAACCGTCAGTCAGGTCCCTGGAGGCAGCAGTCCCGCTGGCCAGCCTGCTGCCACCCAGCCTGGTGGCAGTCCTCCGTCGGCGCAGCCTCCAGCTAGCAACGCCCCCGGAGGGCATTCATCTGCTGCCAATCCTGCCGGAGGCTCCGGCGGCAATGCGCCTGCTGCCACTGCCTCGAGCTCTGGCAAGACTCCTGCCGTAACTACATCGTCTGCGTCTCGATCATTTGGCGCTCAGTGGGATGAACTTTTGGTCATAGGGGTCATTGGCTGCGTGGTTCTGGCGTCCCTTGGACTTGGGTTGTAACGTAATTACGTTCTTCTGAGTCCTTCTGGAAGACAGGGATTCGGTTCTAGGAATGACGGTGGAATGACCTGATATGTCTTGTGTTGCACCTGCGCTTGTAACTTCTGATGCCGACTCTTAATTGGGTGGAACGAGCCGGAGACCTTGCACTAAGTATTCTGATTTCAAGCCAGGCGCCTCTCGATGGATGGGTAGTGCCCCATAGGAAGGGGGAACCGAGAACATGCCTCGGCAATACACAGAGGGACTCAGTAGACAATGCCCAAGTGGTTTTACCTTTGGATTTCTTCCGTGGGAAACCATCAAGTCGGCACGAAATGTCTCTGATTCGTCACATGCCGTAGACGACTCTCGGAATTTACTGTGTAACATTAATCATGATGCATGTCCCTTGGTCATCTGACGGCTGACAGTTGAGACACGATCTAGAAAGAAGACCGTTGAGTCGATATTGCCGCTGGAAGAGGTATGTAGGTACGTAGCAATATGTCTTTTGAACCCTTGCGCCGATCCTTCGGGCCTACGGGCGTTGGTGACCATGACTCCGGGCCGCGTCCGCACTAGGCCTTGTTGATCCCACCGGCTAGACAGACTGCCAGCCGTGTCTTGCTCATGTTCATACCTAATCCATCCATCCAAGCCAACACCCCCTCCCCTTCCCCCACCCACCTAGTTTTGTCCACTCGCGGATACGGAACTCGAATCTTTGGATCCCTTTGCTTCGCAATCCAGACTAACATGTCTTACGCATGGTATGTCGCTCTTTCTCTGTTTCATGCACAAAAACGGGCAAAGTCAATCTGCCGCTCAGCTCACCGAAGCAGCGCCCCGGGATCTCGGCGAATTGAGTTGCTTCCTTCCATCGCTCCTGCGCCTAACCCGAAGCCGACTGGTATCTGAGAGACCGAGAGTCATGAACCTGGAAGGTCGCAATCTGGGCATCCACGTACTAGTCTGGATGCATGATGCAGGGCTTCCATTTTTATGAAGAAAAGAGTGCTTGCGGAGTACCCATCATCTTGGCTCTGCCTCAACTCATTCACACGACATAGGACGCTTTCTGATCAAGATAGGTTCCAAAAGCAGGCCGATACCTGCAGGGTGATAATTATAGTGTATGTAAATGGTCGTTACGTTGGCTCCAGACTGCTGGGAGCCCACACCAGAATGTCAGCTTTGCCCGCCGGGAGTCGGCTTGGCCATTGGGACCTCATCCGACACTCTTAACCATATGTGGAAAGCGATAAAACAGACTAAAATCTTGGCTGGATTGGAAAAGGTTAAGGGCAAGAGGCTACCCAGAAAGAATCTTGTTCGTATTGGGTGCTACCTCTTATGTCACTCACCATTCCAGTGAATCTTTGAATTATCTAAAGAGCAAGACTGTCCAAGGGTGGCGATTTTCATCTTGGTGTTCTTACAACGTAACATTGTCATTCGAATTATGTTGGCAAGTACTATGACTAGTACGGATACTCCCACAGCACTCTTTCGACTCATTGCTGGCTATGATGATGACGATCATAGTCATGTCGATGAAATTTGCCACAGCGCCGACCTCGGGGAAAGCCATCTCAAGATGACTGGCTCCTTCGAATTGGTCTCACGTGGCTGCGCCAGAAATCCATGAGGACAGAACGTGGACCCCATTTCCAGGCGGTCGGAATCGGATAGCAGGTCCTGAGGGCCAGAGATTCGAAGGGTTACACAAGACCCTGTGTCTGAAATCTTAACGTTGGTAATAGGGCGTGGTCTGGAACGCGACTTTCGGGGGTCTCGGAAAGTGGGTGGTCGCACTTCTCAGGGCTGTGTAAATAGCGTGATAAAGACCATAATGACAGGCTAGGGCGAAACAGGTGGGGGCCCCTGGGGAAAGCGGCCGACAAACCATGTTTGCACACCGAGCACTCAGAGAACATGGTGATCTCGGCTGGCCCTGCCAAGTCCTGCGTCCGGATGCGGCGAAAGATGAACAGGAAGGGGTTCCCACTGAGGCTGTGAAAGGCTGACCCATTGAAACTCACCAAAGTCACATCAACAGCACCTAGCAGAACCTCCCAACGGGGGCGTCTTTTGGGATTTCAACGATGATATTCGCAGCCGAGCAGTCTTACAAAATGTGCGGGACTTGGTGAGCTCGGCTTGTACAAATAGTTAGCTGCAAGGCATTTTGAGTAGTTGTCCTTTAGTACGGCCACATGAGGAAGTATTTCGCCTGCAATAGCAGCGGATAAACCCCCGTTGCCCTGGTCGCTGACCGCGCTAGGAGCTCACAGCCATTGCCTTATTCGGACTGTTGCGGACCGGCTTCAAGCTCATTCTATGAGAATAGGCCAAGCTGTGAGCTGTCTAGGTATGTCTGCCTTTGCCATCTCGTGCCTTCGCGTTCGCTTTCTAGTTCGCGTCCGCGTTAGCCTTCGGCTCCGAAGGCCGACTTGCTGCCTCTATAGATCGAGAGTCTCTACCCTCCTTCAAAATTTCTTTGGAATTCAACATCTCTGTCAGAAATGCGTCCTCAATTGCCGGATGGAATTGAATCATATCGGTGAGGAAGGGAAGGCAAATCAGGTGACGCAGTGCGTGGCAGCCTGTGGCAAACCTATATGGCGAGCTTTTTGCAGCCTTGCACAGCATGGTGTTCCAGACATTATGTTTCAAACGATCAGGGAAGTCTATCGGCAGTATGGAAATCCCTGTGGCTTGATGCTGAATGGGGTGTTGGGAGAGGTTATGATATCTGACCGAACGAAGTAAGATGGATTTGCCTTTGCTGCCAGCCTCCAGAGTCGAATTAGACCACAGAGGATTGGAAATAGGGCAGATACGTCAGGCTCAAAAGAGAAGTGGCCAAACTGAATCTGATTTCGGAACATCAGGAGTATCTAGGTATGGTAATCAGCAAGCCGTCGAATGTCTCCGGGCTGCGAGCGAGTACTAGAGGTAGGAGGAGACGACCATGGCCCCAAAAGGGTGCCATATGATCATGAAGGTTTTGGGAACATACTTGGAGTGTTGCCCTTAAGCTAATAATGCGTTCCAACGCCAAGTCAAATGTCTCTATTCCCCCATGCTCCCTAACGCCGGGAACACCTACTCGCAATGAGGCGGCATGTCTCTGAACTCGAGAACGATTGTGATTTGATGGAGGTGATGCGAGGCGGAAGCACCGCCCCACACATCAAAGGAAAAGAAAATGAACACCCCAGCCATATAAATCTTACGACAATTGGAAACCTCCCTGTGGACCAGGCTCGTCAGACGAGCATACGCCTGCATGACCCTCTCTTTGATCCAATTTCGTTTGATTATTACTACGGCAAGGAACGAATAAGGTCCATCGTCATTGCGAAATCAATACCGGCTGATACCTAGACGTGAATGCCGTCCAGCTGTTCGGAGTTCAGTGATGATTTATTGTTTGATGCTGAGGGCTCGAGATAAAATCTTAGGAGGTTCGGTGTTAAGGTTGGGAGATAGGTCTCTCTAGTGACTGCGACCAGTGGCCAATCGTAATAGAGCTCTTTGCAAAATTACCGAGACTAAGAATTTAGCACTGTGGTAGTAATCTCACCGAAGCCTTAGCAAGTTAGATTGGATAATCATCACGCGTGCCTATCAATCCCGCACAGTCTGTCAGTCAATCCTCCCTCCCACCCGGGGTCAGGCTTCACCACGAAGTCATGCACGGATATGCGAATTCTTTTGGCTCTCCTGGTCTGGTAGAGACGTCGAAGATAAGCCATGATCCTTGGGTGACCTCGATATATCACATTCCGGCATTCGTCTTCTTGAGCATTCCAGTGTACTTACGGAAATATCCTCACTGGAATTAAGCCCCAAGCGCCGATCTCAGAACATTGACACTGTCAGATGAGGATTATCCCGCAGCCCTCACCACCTTAGTCCAAACTTTAGCCATAGTGAGATCGATGGAGCCCTGGGCTAGCCAACAGGCCCGGGAAATCATGGGCATTGTCCGCAAAGGGGCCTGTGTGTGCGATTCGTCTCGACCTGCTGCCATCGGAAAAAGACTACGAAAGCCTCAAAATTACGATACAGGCAAAGCCCAGTTGAAGCCAGACGGTGCAATGTCCAAGATGGCGGCGTTTGTGTTTCGGCTCTTGGACCAGATCTCTCCGCCGCTTTGGGCGATATACTAGCCATACCAAGCAAGGTACATACTTGCATGCAGGGGTCAACCGTCAACAAGATGCCACAGACTCAGGTACCTGGCAGTTCGCAGTTGCATGTCCACGTAACACGGGCAGGTCCCTCACAATGCGGCTGCGGAAGCGCCCGTGCTGCGATCTGCAATATTGTTCTTCGGGGCAAGGATACGTCGAGCAGTCGTCAACCTTAGAATTGGACCCAGATAGTGATGATGAGGCGCGGGAAAGGGGAGGGGGGTACCGCAATGATGCCAATGACAAGATTGAAGGCGTTTGTGCACATTTATGTGGCTTAGAATCTAATATCCATGAATTTAGTGTCTCTCGGAACGTATCTGCAAGATCGGATCTGGTGTAGGCCCAGGTAGGCAAAGAGCTATCGTTACAAACCGTCACCTTGGATAGCGAAGTTATTAGTCGGTGCGCCTCGAAATTTGAGTCAGATTTTAGTTCAACGATTGAATTTTGTCTCTGTTTGACTCCAGATTCCTAGGGTTTGGCTTATATCCGTACGCTACGGAGAATTGCACTCATGATTGACTACTTTAGTGTTGATCAGGACCCCAGATTATCGAGACGATCGTGCCAGGTTTGATAGATACACTAAAGATATTTAAACTTTCAGGAACATCTTCAGCTTGGCCATTGTCAAATTAGGGCGATAAATCACGATGGCGGTCGCGATAGTTACGTGCGGTTGCTGCGTTAAAATGATGCCATTCCATTGCCCCCTCGGCTCATCGGCATAAAGATAGGCCATCGTGACTGTCTCTGATTGCAACGTTCATCTTAACAATATGGTGGATTCATTTCGCATACGGCCGGCTCAAAATACTTTCGACCCTCGCGAATCTATTTTGTTATATTGTGGGGGGAGGAAGACGAGGACTTGCATACAGCTTGGATGATGTGATCATGGTCGCCGATATCCAGAAGGTGAAGCCTTCAAACGAGTACGTAGCACCTCCTTGGGTGCCAGCCAAGAGCTTGCCTCTCAGATGCCGCAAGAAAAGAGCCATTGGCGTTGCGTGCCACGGAATGCAGTCTTTCCGAATTGAAGCTAAGGGATCGATCTCCCCTCAAGTTCTTAGGCTTGCCCAACCCCCTAGACGTGGCGTCTATGTCCTTTCCACACCTTTTTTGTCCATTTCCATCTAGGGCACCCCGGACCGAGTATTTGCCTAGAACTCTCGTAAAATTATAGACAGCCAGCGACATGGGATTTCAACATCGTTAAGTGATTGCCCCAAAGACCCATCTTGTCAACCCGCCGTGGCGCCCCCCTCCTCCCCCAACCCCCGGCGGCCATCTAGCTGGAAGCACACTATCTTAGGTGCCGTAGACAACCAGCTAAGAGGAACAAGACACGGCGTCAAGCCTTAGTGGAACAACCCATACAATCACCGGGAATCGGACAAATCTCTCGCACTTGTCCCGCTGACATGCCGCCCATCTAGCATACCGGGCCCTTTAATATGCTATCGGGCGATGCTCTATCACGAACAGATGCAGGGATTGAGGCTAGTTCCAACTGTAAATTCAAGGCCCCATGTCAGCTCAGTTCAGCTCGACGGCAAAGTTTGCCTTATTTGCCGGATATGTAGAAGCTTGTGTTGATGCTCCAGGAAGTGGCCCCCTCATCATCAGTTTCATTCTGGGACCGACTGCAAAGTTTTTGGAAATCCCCCCACGCCCATTCCGGACACGGAAGACGGGGGAAATTGCCTACCAGATCGTGCCACCGGCAGTGTAAATGTTGATCACGATGGACAGACATCAGTCGCCTCAATATCCGATTGGATGGACTAGCAGGAGGGTGAAATACCCACAAGAGCTTGCCCACTACGGAATTCGACGCTAGCCTGACAATTGAGCAGCAACTGCTTTTGAATTATGTTTTCGACAATGTAGGTGATCGTCTCTGGGTATAAGTTCTGGCAAGAAACCTTGGGCCTGATATGCCTTCTCACATCGAACCCCCTGCATTCATCAGACAAACGACCCACTGCTATTTACCCCCTCCTTCCTTACTTTGCTGAGCGGCAATCATGTTCCACCCAAATTATCTTGGCCCACAAGACTGCCTTGTCCGAACGTCAACCTCAATGGAGGCTTGGCAAGGTCCGCCTCAGGATGCCTGCAGCACACATGTAGATGGTAATTATTAGACTTCCCACGGTGTTGGCAGAGTTAGCTGGCCAAGAAACTGACTTAGTCCGAAGGAACACTAGACTTTCGTTCATACATCTCTTCGACCAACGATAGTAGAAGTTGGGCATACGCTTTGCCGTTACCCAGCATCGATTCACCACAATGGGACCCTTCTCAAAGGGAAATGCTAGCGCCGCTGCATCTCCATAACAGGAGACTTGAAGAATATGGACACGACTTCTCGAGGCCACGTGTTTTATCTATGCCCGAATACGAAACACCCATCCATCACGATGGCTATGGACAAACGGAAAGACGTCCGCAGATCATTACAGGCCTCGGGAGGCATAGGTCTGACCCACGGCTAAACTCGGAGGCGATTTTCGACCAGCCGGCAAGCAGATACTACAAAACATCCCCAGATGTCAATGTCGACAATGTCTCGCAGATGTCAGACTTGTCCCCATGCCCGCTGATGGAGTATGAGTCAAATACCGGTCGCGGTGCCGTGAACTTGTACCCAAGACCATCGCCGACTCGTCATCGACACCGATCTCACTCAGTGGCAGAGGATCCCAGATCCCCGCCTCGAGATCGTAAATATCTTTTTGTCAACCGAACCGTCAAGGATGGGAAGTTGATTTCAAGGGGAGTGCAAGCTTCGGGCTCCTGGAAGACAATAGACCGGCGGAAAAAGGCAGCACGTGACGATGAAAGACGAGTTGCCAAGGCTACGACAGAGGCGATCTCGAGTTTGAGAGACCACTTGGGAAGGATGCTTGGAATGGGACTGTCATTTTCGGATTTGATGGAAGAATTAGGTCGAGAAGCTCAGAAGACTCAGATATCTTCATAGCGTTTCTGTAATGACAAGATAAGCAAGGTCTCTGAAGCAACAATAGTCATGGATGATTTTCTATTTAGGACCACAGCGCGAGTTTGCAGCAATGAAGCTCGACCAAGTTTTAGTCACAAGTATTCGACTTATCAAGTTCGGGACAAAATAATCAGGTCTATCTTATAATAAACTTACGCTGCAATACCTCATCTGGCGATCTTAGTTTGAGCTTGCAAATGTTGCATCCACACGTAATGTTACGTGAACTCTGAGCCAGCTTTTTCTCCATGTTGGTTCTATATGGGCTTCGTGTACCAGGTGGTGGCTTTTTACGTGACCTTCGACTTATAAGCCTTGTCAGTCGTCAACAAAAACGTTGAACATAGCAGATAATGATGCGGCAATGGCTTCCACAAGGCAGGGAGTACTGAAGCATCAATCGAGTACTAAAGTTTTGCGAATCGGGAAAGTCTGTATCAAAGAATTATTGATTTTAGGGCATATGTTCTGATTACCTAGGCTCACACGTTTGAGGTGAATCTAAGCTTTGCATTGGACGGCAATATTTGAGAGGCAGGTGCGGAAGCTGTGATGAAATCTTTCTCAGACGCATGCCAAGCGCTCTACAAGACCATCAGCAAGCCGGCGATAACCAGCACCCACTTGCCGGACCGGACGGCCTGGACACTGGCCGTTGGGACTTGTACGATCGCTGCGCCTGAAGCTGTACCTCTGTGCGTTGGTGAAGCTCTATTGCTGCCGTCAGAATCTTCTCCTTCTCCTCCTACCCTTCCTCCGCCTCCTTCGCCACTTTCACCACTTCCACCACCGCCTGAACTGCCGCTAGCAACTTTGGTTGATGCAGGGGAACTACCGGGGCTACCAACTTTACCGAGAGTTGCAGGCGACGCGGTAGCTGTGTTAAACAGCTGTGTTAAACATCCTGCAACAACGAAGTGGCCTTGAGACGGGAAAGGTTCACTTAACAATACCAGGAGACATTTCGGGCCTACTGGAAGGTACTGGCGCAAGACTTGATGTGAAGGCGTAATTATTTTCTGTATCAGAGTTTCCTGAGCTTTTATGAGGGCTTTCAGCTTACTGAACAGTCGACTGTTGATAATGCCAACGTTTCAATCTCAGTAGACAATGTTGCCGCCCAACATACCTACGTAAAACGATATGGCCACAAGCGCTACAGGTTTCATTTCGACCAAATATGTGGCAAGCTAAGAAAATAGTGAAAGGGATCAACAATAATGAATCGAGATGGTGATAAGTCGTCGTGTTCAAGATTGAGTTGAGGGGCAAAGGAAAACAATCACTCGCCAAAGGGGGTAGCTGAGGGGGAGGGGGGTGTTTCTGGGAAGCCACGAGACCCTTCGACTGTTCCCAATTCACAAGGTGAAATGATCAATCCTACGATTTCACGGTTTGGTGTCGTCTTTTAAGTGCCCATTATCAAGTGATTGTCCCATGGTTTGATTATAATACCTCAGTGTCATCAAGAGCGATGCGAGGTCACATGAATCCTGAGTTGCCGGAGTTATCAAGCCTAGCTACTAACTTGGCGATCGCTGCATACCGCCAGAAGAACAAAGAATCGGGGCAAATGAGGTCCGGTACGGATAATTGGCACTCTTAAGCTCGCATACGTGTCAAAAGCGCCTTGCGAGAGCTGACCATGAAAGTGCTGGGTTTGGATGGAAGGTGTATTACTTAGAGCAGGTCTTAGTTGTCTGAGGTAGTTGGAAAAAGTCTCTCGATTCAAAATTGTGTACAATAATCTAGCTGAAACTGCTCCAAGACATGGAAATATGGAAATATGCTGGTAGCGTGTGGGCTTTGGCTCACTTGACTTGATCCTGACAACTTCGAAGTTTCTTCACAAAGGCACATGCCTCTTCGCCTCTTTGTCTGCACATCTTTGGTCATCACATAATTCAGGCTCTGATCGCAGCTTCAGTCTAAGACATTTCATAGAAATTCTCAATGTGATGTGGGTAGCTTTGACAAGTTCCAACACATGAGCTGGGATCAAATGTAGCTTCTTGACTGCTACCAATCTTCCAGTCCGCTTAAGTTTAAAGGAAAGTAAGACTCATTTTGGTTTGATATCTCTTACTTGGCATGTAGTCTTTGAGCTATTCTAAGTGCAGACATCCGTAATTTCTTCCAGCAATGAAAGCTGTATCGACTGTGAAGGATCATGATGAAGAATCAGACACGAATGTAATGACCTACCGCCTTGTACCAAGCAATTTTGCCCAATGCATCTACCTAGCGTCAAAGCCAAGGAATCGGAATGTAGATTATTTATCTTAACCCCGAACATCACCAGATAGGCCTAACCCCTTTGACGCGCCTGGGGCTGGATCTAGGCAGGTAGGACATCATCACAACATAGCGCTCCCCAAGTGCCGGGCGATGTTTAGCGTTATAGAAAATGTCTCAGTTCAGTCTCTATGCGGTGCTCTCGTATCACCACACGAAACCGACCGGTTTCTGAAGATGGTCTAGCTTGCTCATTCATTATGTCAGGCAAGTCACTTAGCCGGGCGCTATGTAACGGAAGTTAGGACAAAGGTCTGCTTGCCGAAATTGATCAGCCTTCGTATGGCATCTGGCCCGAAAATTGACTGATGTCTTTCCTTCTCAAACCTTATATGGTCGGGAGTCAGTATTGGACCATACCGTATAGCACAGCCACCACCACCTAGATGGGTGGACATCCGGATGCATTGCACCCACTATGATTATCGCCGCCCGTTGTCCCCTCTTCTTCTGATCTCGGGTCGCTACATCGGAATGCAGTCTCAACCAGAAAACGATCCAAACCTGCTTTGAATAAGCAATCATTTCTAATCCGGTTTGACATCGTCTAGTGTGACGGTCGAGTAATTCCGTGCACTACAGCTAATGAGATCTTAGTCAAGGCATGCCCTAGCCTCATCGTCTTTCTCCATGTTTCCATGCAGAAGCAAGATGTCCTTAGAACAGTTCGTAGACTTTTTTCCATTGGACGAAATAATATACATGCAGGTTACTGAAAACTTAATCGGCAAGAGGCGAGACTGGATCCATCCAACGTTCCGGCTTTGAGTTGAACTAATCCTCCTCTGAACGGCGTTCGTTTCTGGGTGGTCGACTTGTACCACAGCTCCTTTTCTTTTCCTGTCCAGAACTACTATTGGCTATTTGCTTACAGAAGATATTCTCATAATGTAAACAGGCGATATTGTCTCTCAGTATTATTGCTGCATCCGGTTCGAAGCAGATGGTTGGAAATGGCGGGGACAAGGTTCTTGGGGCTACGATAACAATTTTGATTACAGGTAGGTAGCTCAGGTTTATGGTAGTGTAGAAGTCACTCTGTCGATCAATTTGTTGGCTCGAATGGCAACAGCACTTGACTTCAGAAACACGTATAGATTTGGCGCTCTCCTAAGCGGGCTCAGCTTCAACGGCAATGCGATGTCCACTTAGGAAATCGAGCACTCGAAATTTAAAAACAGTCCTTGTTTTTCTATGTCAAAGCATCAGGGAATCATCGTCTCAAAAACTCACTTTTCTTCCTTGTTGTAGAACTCTGGGGACTTGGAGACCAAATTTGCTTTTTCGAACTGACTTGTCAGTCACAAGATAGGCAAGATGAAGTGGAAGATTCCGATTTTCTTCATCGTCTTTTGGACGAGGATTGTTGCCATTCCGGCGGGTAGTAACTCTCCCTGCCCAATAGATGCCAAAGTCGTGGTTGAATACCAACCTTTCGAAATCCAGTGTTCTGGGAATGTCGCGACTTCAACCAGGACCAGGTGAGCCTTTCTCAAAAGTTCAACATGGGCGCTTTTTGTTGACATCATCTAGGACGTGGACTGAGTGGCTAACCACCACCGATATTGTCATAGGCGGAACTATCACGTCAAAGACAACGGTAACTTTGACCGCCTCTGAAACCCTTGGTGTAGTTGTTTTTACGTCGACAGGCTCTAAGACGGGAGCCAAAACAATTCCGCCAAAACACCCGGGAGATCCAACTTCAGATATCACCTATATAAGGCCTCCGAGGAGTTCTTTACCTACTGTCACTTCTCTCGCAAGTAAACCCGGGTTAACAACCGTCCCCCCGGGTCCGAATGGCGGTCCATCTACGGTAATTACATTCGTAACAGGTCCTATTACAGTGACCTCGTCTGCAAAAACAACTGGCCTCAGTACCATTCCCGGATTTGATAGAAGACCCCCTACCGTGGTTACTTTTGTCACCACGCCGCTGTCTCCAGTGACCCTCACTTCAATCGCATCGACAACTGGGCTCACAACTATTCCTCCTGGTCGCAACGGCGGCCCCCCTACGGTCGTCACTTTCATGACCCCTCAGTCTGGCCCAGTCACTATCACTTCTCTTGCTTCTACGACTGGTCTGACAACCGTTTCTCCCGGTCCCAATGGTGGTCCTCCGACGGTGGTTACTTTTGTCACTGCGCCGCTGTCTCCAGTGACCATCACATCAGTCGCGTCGACAACTGGGCTCACAACCATTCCTCCCGGTCCCGATGGAGGTTCTCCGACGGTGGTTACCTTTGTGACCCCTCAGTCTGGCCCAGTCACGATCACGTCGCTTGCTTCTACGACTGGTTTGACAACCATCCCCCCTGGTCCCAACGGAGATTCTCCTACTGTCGTCACGTTCGTCACTTCGCTTCTCAACTCCCAAAAGACAGTAACAATCACCTCTACCGCCCTCACTACTGGGTTGGTGACTCTGCCCCCGGGGCCTAAAGGAGGCCCTCTTACTGTTGTCACTTTCGCTCCAGAACCCCCGGGAACGGTGACCATAACATCTTTCGCATCTACCACTGGCCTGAGCACTCTTCAATCCGGTCCTGATAGTGGCCCGCCGACTGTGATTACCTTTGTTACCACACCTTTACCTCCAGTGACGATAATCTCACAAGCATCCACAACGGGGTTGACAACTCTTCTTCCGGGGCCTAACGGCGGTCCACCAACTGTCATTACCTTTGCAACGGGGCCTCCTCCAGTTACTGTTACGTCTACTGCATCTACTACTGGCCTCACAACGCTCCCGTTAGGGCCCAACGGGGGACCTGCTACGATAGTTACCTTCGTTACCGGTCCGCCGGCAGCCAAACTTCCTGTCACCTTGACATCTACCGCAAGCACTACCGGTCTCACTACTATTCCACCTGGACCAAATGGCGGAGCCCCTATAATTGTCACATTCGTGACGGGGCCTCAGCCTGTCACGTTGACCTCGACCGGCAGCGCGACCGGTCTTACGACGCTTTATCCGGGCCCAGACGGCGGTCCCACGACCGTCATCACCTTTGCTACCGGTCCTCTTCCAGTCACCTTGACATCATTTGGAAGCACAACTGGGCTGAGAACATTCCCTCCGGGGCCGGGTGGAGGCCCTCCTACCGTTGTTACCTATGCTATAACAACCGCGCCTGTGCCAGTCACAATTACGTCTACGGCCAGCACTACTGGGCTGACAACTCTTCCTGCTGGTCCAAACGGCGGCCCACCAGCGGTGGTGACGTTTGCGACTGGTCCTCTTCCAGCCACCTTGACCTCATTCGGAAGCACAACCGGATTGACTACGCTACCTCCAGGCCCCAGTGGAGGTCCTCCCACAGTTGTTACTTTCGCTACAACTACCGCACCCATTCCAGTTACAGTCACTTCCACTACGAGTACTACAGGTCTCACAACTCTTCCTTCAGGTCCCAACGGCGGTCCGCCAACAGTAGTGACGTTTATTACTGGCCCGCCTCCGGTTACCCTCACATCTTTCGGAAGCACAACTGGGTTGACTACATCCCCCCCGGGTCCAAACGGCGGTCCTCCTACTGTTGTCACCTTTGCTTCAAGCACTGCGCCTATTCCAATTACAATCACCTCAACCGCGAGTACTACTGGCCTCATCACTATTCCTGCGGGTCCGAACGGCGGCCCGCCCACCGTTATTACCTTCACCACCCTACCGCAGCTCACCGCGGTCACTCTAACTTCAACCGCAAGCACCACAGGGCTGACGACTGTTCCTCCTGGTCCTAATGGCGGACCGCCGACCGTCATCACCTTCGCCACGGGCCCAGCGCCCGTGACGCTTACTTCTATGGCCACCACAACTGGTTTGACTACGATTCCTGGTGGTCCTGGGGGCCCTGATACAGTTATCACGTTCATCACCAGCCCGCAACCAATCACCATCACGTCTACCGCCACCACTACTGGTCTCACAACATTGTCGCCGGGTCCAAATGGTGGGCCGCCGACGGTTGTCACTTTCGCTACAGGCCCGGCACCAGCGACTATCACATCGACTGCTAGTACGACGGGCTTGACTACTATACCTGGAGGACCGGGCGGCCCCAACACAGTCATCACCTATGTGGCGAGTCTTCCACCGGTCACGGTCACGTCTACCGCAACTACCACCGGCCTAACGACTGTGCCCGGGGGTCCTGGGGGTCCACCTACCGTTATCACCTTTGTTACCGGACCCTCTCCTATCACCGTGACTTCAATATCGACGACGACTGGTCTAATAACGCTGTCGCCGGGCCCTAACGGTGGACCAAGTACAGTAGTGACTTTTGTCACTAGCATTCTCCCTGTAACAGTAACTTCAATGGCATCTACGACAGGTCTAACAACTATCCCGCCTGGTCTAAATGGAGGCCCTACTACGGTAGTCACGTTCGTGACAAGACCGGCCCCCGTCACTTTGACATCTACTGCCTCTACGACGGGCCTGACAACTCTTCCCATTGGCCCAGGTGGAGGTCCCGAAACAGTAATCACCTTCGTTACTGGAACTCCGCCTGTAACTCTTACTTCAACAGCAACCACCACGGGTCTCACAACGCTGCCGCCAGGCCCTAACGGCGGACCGACTACTATAATAACCTTTATCACCAGGGAACCAGTGACCGTCATTACCCTTACGACTAGCTTTAGGCCCATAGGAACAACCTTTACGACCGGTCTTGTTCAGACGTTCCCTCCAACACCCGGCATTTCGGTAACCGGCGCCCCACCTTATTTGCTAACTCTCATCACTCGGACAGCGAGTACAACCGGCCTTACCACGCTTCCCTATTATATTGGCGACGGAGACGACTTTATATCGATAACAATAGTTACATTTGTAACTCCCCCGGCACCAATCACTGTCACCTCAACCGGAAGTTCAACTGGCCTGACTACAATTCCTCCCGGACCTGCAGGTGGCACGCCAACCGTAGTGACATTTGTAACTACAACTCCTCCAGTCACTATTACCTCAACAGGCAGCACTACAGGGTTGACAACCATTTCTCCCGGAACGGCCGGCGGACCTCCTACTGTGATCACGTTCGTGCCTCGTATCGGGGTCGTCCGTACTCTGACATCTACCGCCAGTCAGACCGGAGTCACCACTCTGCCTCAAACGGATCCTGCTGGAACGACAACTGTGGTTACTTTCGTTCCGCAAGCCACAGAGCTTTCAGCCACAGGGCTTTTAACAACCTTAACTTCGACTGGCGCGCAAACAGGCGTCACTACTTTGCCTCAAACAGATCCTGCTGGAACGACGACTGTGGTTACTTTCGTCCCGCCAGCAACAGGATTCCTGACGACGCTAGTATCGACAGGTACGCAGACGGGTGTTACTACCTTACCTCAGACCAACCCAACTGGCACGACTACGATAGTCAGCTTTATCCCTCCAGCCATTGGACTCCTCACGACAGTTGTGTCAACAGGCACGCAGACGGGAGTGACTACACTTCCCCAGCCCGACCCAACGGGCGTCACTACGGTCATTAGCTTTGTACCTTCAGCCACCGGCTTTATTACCACGGTAGTTTCAACGGCCACTCAAATAGGCGTGACAACCCTACCTCAGCCTGATCCAACTGGAATTACCACAGTCGTCAGTTTCGTACCTCCAGCCACAGGCTTACTCACCACGCTGGTCTCTACCGCGACTCAGATGGGAGTGACTACGCTGCCTCAACCCGATCCAACGGGCGTCACTACGGTCATTAGCTTTGTACCTCCAGCCACCGGCTTTATTACAACGGTAGTTTCAACGGCCACTGAGACAGGCGTGACAACCTTACCACAGACTGATCCAACCGGAATCACTACAGTCATTAGCTTCGTTCCTCCAGCCACCGGTTTTATTACAACGGTGGTTTCAACGGCCACTGAGACAGGCGTGACAACCTTACCACAGACTGATCCAACCGGAATCACTACAGTCATTAGCTTCGTTCCTCCAGCCACAGGCTTTATTACCACAGTCGTTTCATCTGCAACTCAGTCCGGCGTCACGACCCTACCTCAAACCGACCCAACCGGAATTACCACTGTTGTCACTTTTGTGCCACTTACCGGTGGCATTACAACAGTTGTATCAACGGCAACTCAGACGGGTATCACGACGCTTCCCCAACCCGATCTAACGGGTATTACGACAGTTGTTAGCTTCGTTCCTCCAGCCACCGGTTTCATCACCACAGTCATTTCATCGGCAGCTCAGACGGGAGTTACGACATTGCCTCAGACCGACCCAACTGGTACTACCACAGTTGTCAGCTTTGTGCCACTGACCGGTGCCTTTACAACGCTTATATCAACGGCAACCGAAACGGGTGTGATCACTCTCCCACAGACTGACCCAGCTGGCATCACCACAGTTCTCAGCTTCGTGCCTCCCATCACCGGTGCCTTAACAACGGTTGTCTCTTCCGCAACTCAGTCTGGTGTCACAACCCTACCACAGACAGACCCTGCGGGTACGACTACCGTCGTCACATTTGTTCCCATCACTGGCGCTCTCACAACGGTTGTGTCTTCAGCTACCCAAACGGGCGTCACAACTTTACCCCAAACCGATCCCGCCGGCACTACAACTGTCGTTTCATTTGTTCCCATAACCGGTGCCATCACAACTGTGGTCTCTTCCGCTACCCAAACGGGTGTTACGACCTTGCCTCAAATCGATCCTGCTGGCACGACTACCGTCGTCACATTTGTTCCCATCACCGGCGCCCTGACAACCGTAACTTCAACAGCATCCCAAACTGGCATAACAACCCTTCCTCAGACCAACCCAGCTGGCACGACCACTATTGTCACTTATGTGACGCCGAGCCCGAGCTGCACCCCTGGATTGCTATGGGCGTACTATGGCTTGTCACAAGCTCCGACCGACACCGCCAGTCAGGCGGGTAAGATCCCGTTCCAGAATTCAGACGCAACCTCACAAGCAAACTGGAAGACAACTTACTTCAATATTCAAACCGTACTCAGCGGACAGAGTCCCAATAATAGGGGCTTAACGACCACAGTTGGTCTGTCATCGTCTTGTGGCACCTCGACCCGAAATGTTTATGGTACTACTGTATCAGAATCCAACTACATCATCGTGCAGCATATTGGCTATTTTCATCCTGCTACATCCGGAACCTACACTTTCAGCTTCAGCGGTGTGGACGATAGCGTCTATCTCTGGCTGGGCAGCAGCGTCGCCAAAAGTGGCTACAGTAATTCAAATTATAACAAAAATGTCAACTACTACGACACAAGCAGTTCGGGTACTTTTACATTTACTGCGACTGCTGGTCAATACTATCCGATTCGTATCTTGTTCGTCAACGCGCAGAACTGTGGCTTGTTCAATTTCTCGCTCACGAATCCCGCCGGCAGCGTTGTCGTTTCAAACTCCCAGTCTGTCGTTGGAGACCAGCTTGTGAGCAGCTGCCCGAACAATGCAGACGCCGCTCCCTTTAGTTTCTAGATAAGAAGCCTGTTTTTCTTTTGTTAGTACTAGTAATGCTTGTTCCTTTCTTCCTACCTACTCTCCTGTAACAATTCTTCTCCTTACAATTTATATACTTTATCGTCGAGTTTGATGGTTGCTATTGACCTGATGTTTAAGGTCCCGTAAACAATGTATTGGTCTTGATATATTCAATAAGCACTATTTGTTTTACGCATTCTGGATATTTTCCGTGTGCAAAGCTTCAAGTTACAAGTCATTCTAGACAGCAAGAAAAACCCGAACTCGAGTATTGATATGAGTACAAAACAAAGCACACGGCTAAATACAATGACACTCCTCTACCTAAAGTACACTGTAAAATACGCGAGACTCTACATATATAGCGGAATACGTGGTGACAGTCACTGTCAGATTTTTGGACACAAATCTCAATCCACAGTCTTTGCGAAACGGAACAAATGCTATCATAAGCTTCAAGGCTCCTGCAAGCGCGTACCGCAGACAAGCCCCACGACGCCCGACTCATCGCTTGTTGCTCTCAGACTTGAAGGGAAAACTGTGTCAGGATGATGAAAAGAGATGAATGCTCTCATGATTAAAAAGCATGGTATCGCTGACTAAATCATGCCCCAAAGATAACAACAGCAGTGAATAAGAGCAATGAAATCGAAATTGTCCTGAACTCACTGACTGACATAGTACTCAAGGCTTGGTGCAGTGACATTTGGTGAAATAAGTCCTACTCGTCGGAGTTCATTGACCCAGAGATGCTGACTTGCGTTCCAGCCATACTTTTATCTTTCAACGGTCGCGACCGAAATTACTTCACATGAAATTGCCAGCCTGCGATGGAATTTGAGAGACGCAATCATAATGGACTGAGCTAGGCGATTTTACTACATTTCTGTGACTTTCAAAGTACAGGAAGCCACCCACTCCCATGTACGGCAGGATTACCGACAGCATGACTAATAAACCGCTCGGTATGACAGCTAGCAGATAGCCTTTGGGGAGTTCCCCAAGATGGCTTGAAATTTCTTGGAATTGCGATTAAGATTTCGAAAAGATCTCCCTCAAGATCGAGTCCAATGTTAAGGTAGTTACCCACGTCACCTTGATACCGACATAGCTGGATCTTTCTTCTATCCTTATCCGCACATTGTGTGAAGCTTAGACGGATACGAGACGCAAACAAACGTGAATGTTTCAGAAAATGCTTTAACAACCCAACCCCCCCCCCAACCCCCCATTGCAGAGAGTGTATCCATCAGCAAAGCGAGTCTTGGCCTCCAGGCTCAGGCCGCAGTCGTTTGTGGCATAAACAGTGTAAGGACCTTTGCGCTAGTTGGGATCTTAGATGATTGCAGACAACTGGAAAGAAACACAACCACTTCCAACCATAGCCTACCTTAGTAGACATTGAGAAGCTCGACTCTGCAGCCGACAGCGGCCATAGCGATGCCGGCGTGAGATGCCAAAAGGCAAGTAACGGCGGAAGCCTTCATAACTTTGACATGCCAGCCGCCATCCCATTTGATCGCCTTTTCTTCTGGCAAGAAGCACTCTCTTATTTGCTGATATTGTTTATTCGAACTTCCTTGGTAATGCTCGAGAAGGCGGGGTTCTGTGCAAGGCTTCTTTCTCAAATACTCCAAGAGGCTATTGAAAACAGTAAGTCGGAGCACCCCCACTCGGCCACCCCCCCCATTCGGCCACCCTATTAAAAATAGGTCTAGGTATATTACCACTAACTATAGTTAATTAATTAACTACCTTTTATTACTATTATAATATAATTACTACCCTTACTAAGTAATTCGACCTTTATAGTTCGACTAGGATTAATTAAACATTTACTAGCGTTTTCTTAAGCCCTCTTTATATCCTTAATATTAGCGAACTTAGTATTTAGGTTTATTTAAATACTTTTCTTTTTTTTAAGAGCTATATACTTAACTCTAGCTTTTAGAACTCGAACTTATTATTAAGATAAGGTTAATAAGAAGGATTTTTTACTAAAAGCTTTTTTAACTTTATAAAAAAATAGACGTTAAGTATAGTAGTTAGGCCTAAGCTTTATAAATAGTTTTAGCTATTTATAAAAATTACTAGTTTTTTTAGGAGTTAACTAGTTAATAATAAATACTATAGAGGTTTAGTTAACGACTTTAGTAATATTAATAATTATTTACTTAGTATTAGTAATATCGTTTAATAATATAGCTAGGCTAAATAATATTATAGGATTATTAAGAAGTATAGCTATATTAAGTAGTTATAAGCTAGTTACTCTTTAACTACTTTATATATTATCTTTCGTTAAACTAAATAAACGAGCTATAATATAATAAACTAAGAAATACTACTTTTTAATAATAATAGAATTATTTATTATATCTTCTTTATTAAGCTTTTTTTTATAATAGGTTTTAATAGGACTAAAAATAGCTATATTTAATAGTTAGAGAATATAAGAGGTATATAGTAATAAGAATAATAAGTAGACGTTATTAATATAGTATTCTTATATAAATTCTATTATTATATAATTCTTATACTTATTTAGAATTAATAGTTAAGGCTTTAGCTATAGGTTAAGTCCCCTAGTTATAGGGGCTTAGTCTATAATAAAAAGACTATTTTTAATTATATAAAGGTAGTCTAGTCTATAGTTTACTTATTATCTATTACTATAAACTCTTAATTATTAAGATTTTTAAGATTAAGGGGGAATTATTACTATTAAACCGATTTTTTTTTATAAATTAGTAGTAGTTTAATAGTTCTATTATTAATAAAGATATATTTAATAATAAAGATTTAAGAATACGATTTAGGCTTTTTTTTTTATACTACGTTAGTCTTAGCTATATTTAAAATTAGCTTATTAAATCCCTTACCCTTAAGGATATTAGTTTTATTTATATTATATTTATTAACCTATTTAATATCCTTAATCTCTAGTATATTAAGTAATTAGAACTAGGGCTTAATTATTTTAATAAATACTTTATTAATATACCTTAAATTTATAAAACGACTTCTCTAGATTTTAATAAATAGGTTCTATTTTAAAAAGGTATTTTTTTTTTTAAGAGGATAATTATCCCCCTAGGCTTATAATACTTACTTAGCAAATTCTCTAACTTATTTATAAGTTAGTATAATTTTTAGAGTATATTAAATATAAACTTATTTAGCTAGCTTATTTTTTTACTAGGGAGGAAGCTTTTATTAGTTTATAAAAATAATTACCCTAGCTTATTAACCTTATTAACGATTTTAAAATATATTTTTTAAAATCCTAAACTTAATTAAGGCCCTTTTAACTAAAGTACTACTTCTAATTATTTTAAATACTTAAATAACTTTATTTTCGGTATATAATATTATAATATAATAAAGAATATATATATTAAAAAGAAATTCGTTTAGATAATAATTATAATTATTATAGTAGTTTGTAAATTAAGGGTAGGATTTTAATTAGGGTAGCTAGGAGGGATTTTTGGGGTGGCCGAATGGGGGGGGTGGCCAAATGGGGGTGCTCCGACTTAAGCCGAATGTAATTAGGATGAAAAAGAGTAGAGGAGACTTATTCCAACATTCGGGAAGATTAACTTTATATACGTCAGCGAGCATAGGCCTCGAGTCAGTTTCATAGCAATCCGCAGCTATCAGACACAAGGGCGAGCCCCCTCCTCGAGGCCTTGGAGGCAAACGCAATGCCGGCTCTGCCCCATTGAGATCGAATGATCTGACAACCGCATGGAAGATAGCTAAGGAGTCCGAAAGCCTAAGCTTGACTAACTCTGGCGGGAATCAAATACAAGAACCATGGCAAAGCGGTCCGATGGGCTCAGCAGCCAGCTCATGTATGAGATCTTAGCTGGTGGGACTTGAAAATGAGTAAATCCTAAGATTATCATGTGCACTTTATGTTATACTTAAGGATTTAGGACAAAGTAGGGCTTTCAAGGTTTGGAACTCCGCTCAGAGGGACCCAGGGGGGGAAGCCTCCAGTCTGGCGTTTTGTTGACTCATTGAACAAACGGTACAAGTATGCCCCTTTTTCCTCTTGATTTTGTAGAGATCAACTCCTGATGTGTTTTGTCCACTGGCGCTCCTTTTACTACAGCTAGTTTACCTATAGAAAACGCATCGTTCAGTCTAGCCACAAATACAACGATCGATGTAAATTTGTGGCAGGGCAACCAGCTAAAAGAGAATAGTTTTGGTGACTAAAGTTGGATTTAACTCAATATATGCTTTAGAAAGCAATATACCCTGTTTATCTACTGCTAAATAGTCTTCGCAGTAATCGAGTATGATAACTTGCCTTCGGCTTTAGAATTAGTCCAAGCCCAAGTACCAAAAATTCCCTAGCCCCTTGGCCAGAGAAGCCTAAGCCCACAGACTTGAGGAATTGACGAAGTCAATGCTACTGACATAAGAAGCGATGTCAAGACAACGTACGTGCGCAGCTGTCAAACTTCCACATAATGCGCTGCCGAAGGGTGATCCTCGAGTCAGAAGCTATCATTGCAGGAGCTTCCACAACCGTAATTCTTGAATTCGGTGGGAGCCTTCTTTTCCAAGAATTTAGTCCAGGCCGTGTAGTCTCCTTTGCTACTTGTGCACCTTCGTCTTTGGTACCCCTTTTGGCTCAACATCTGCTGTTGGCTCCAAATGACATGGCACCCTTGATCGTTCCAGGTACACGCAGTCAAAGAGGTCGATCCGCTGCAAGTCTGCGTCTGATGGCCAACGCTGATACTGGCAGTCACGAACTCGGCCGTGATTCCAGCCGAAATTTCGAAAGAAGTAGTCTCGCAGACCTGGTTGTTGACGCCCTGTGTTGCCTGGCACGACTGGCTCTTGGTACAGTAAACTTTGCTGGAGGCCTGGCGCCAAGGGTCGTTGTAAAGGTTCTGTTCGACAACGAAATAATCGTTCCAGCACTTGACACCCGAGGCGTACTGATGATTGCCGTCGGAACCTAGGTAACGGCCTTCGCCGTCGTTGTAGCGAGCCAGGAGCACGCCTCGTTTACCGATATCCATATGGTTCGGCTGAAGGGTAATGTCGTAGGTTTCAGCATATGCGATCTCGCCTGCGATCCAATCAGGCTGTCTATCCCGTGACACCAGAGGTGATGCCAAAGAGACAGTCGAGAGCAGGAGAGGTAAGATCAGAGAGGTCTGCATGATAGAGGATTGAGAGGCCGAGCTTGTATGGTGTCGTGTCAACGGATTGTATTCAACGAAGTAGGATGGATATGGACCGAAATAATCATAACCCTGATCAGACTTAAGACTTTATTTATGTACCCACGAATGAAGGGAGTGTATCTAATAGCTGTTCTCACCATTGCCTCGGTATGCTATACTCGGGGATTTGTTGTGCCGCCTCAGCTTCTCCTATATTCGGCATAAGTCCGTAATATGCGAACTGGAGCTTCTGTCTGCGCGCGACTCAAAACCCATGTCATAAAGTACAACAGAGCTTGAGCAGCAATTTAAGGGAACCTTGTGTTCTTTAGGCAAGAAAGGCGCTGATTCTCGCATACTTAGACATGGAGCCACTTGAAGATCTCATCATGCTGCAAAAATATCAAACCTGACCGTTTTTCTCTATTTCTCTATCCATCTCTCCATCAGAATATCTCCATTCATCCTACCAAAGTGTAAGCGATGGTCATAGGTGCTGGAGTATAAATCTGCAGTATTTGTGGTGTGCTAGATCTTTTTAAAACAAGACTCGAAGCAAACTTTCTAGCCCCAAATTCTTGTAGTGACGAAAAGCATAGTCAACGTTTGTATCTTTAGCTTGAGAAATCACATCATAGTCGGCGAGGGCCGCGACGGGAAATCCTAACCCTCCCTCTGAGCTTCACTGATGTACCAAAGTGCCATCCATACCTAGCAGAGAACATGATGAGTTGATCGCAATCTAAGATATCGCGCGTGGAAGAAATCATCTAGAAAACTGGCAAAGGTCATGACTTCCTTCAAAAGGGGGCCCATCGGTTACTAACCGTGGTGAATGGTATGGAAAGCATAGACTCAGCCCTCGTGTAGCTTGCTATTGCCAGGGGGCAAATTCACTCCAACGTTCGCAAAAACATACTATATCATCTGATCTAATTCACAAGCTGCCGCAACTTAGAAAATGCGTCTGCCTTGCTTCTTCGATCTTATCATCTTATTCCCGCAATCAAGTTGTCCTCAGTGCGAAACCCAGATGCAGTCGGGGGCTTCCGAGTTTGGCAGAACGCACAGAAATAGGGGTCACACCAATCTAAGGGAGTGCAGGTTAAAGGAAGGATGTAGACTCATATTGGACACTGTATGGTCGATCCAGCGTGGCAAAGATGGCAAGATACGCAGTAACAGGCATCGGTGGGGACTTCTTTGTCATTTGAATCGTTGTTATAAAACCATTTTGATTAAAGCACTTATTTTAAGGTATCATTCAAATCAAACAACTAACTATCAACCACGAGGACATTAGCGTCATATCTAGCCTGCTGCCAACTCCCCAACCCAAGATAACAATGGTACATTACACCAGCCAACAAATCCATAAGTCATCATACGACAGACAACCAGTATAGATTTAGGCCACTTTCCAAGTGTCAGCTCATTGTCGACTCTTCGTGTCTCGTAACTGATGTCTACCGAAGCTCCTGCGGGGAATAGGTGTAAGTCTGCCCTTGAGGGGGTGGGGAATGCGTCGGCGAAACTGTGCCGTTAACAGGCGAAGGGGTATATGACTGAGGAGGGTACTGCTGCGGATGTTGCTGATAGTCGTGCGGCGGCTGTGTGTAGTTCTGGGCCGGAGGAGCCTGCTGATACTGTTGTTGCTGGGGTTGCTGGCTCGGCATCTCCTGGTACTGCTGAGGTGGTTGATGCTGGTACTGTTGAGGAGGAGCCTGCGGCTGAGGCGTGTAGGACTGAGGCGGGTAGAATTGCTGCTGTTGCTGCTGCTGCTGGGGAACCTGGCCGTTCTGCGACTGCTGGTACGCAGTCTGCTGCGTGAGGAACGGCTGCTTGGACTCCATCTGAATCTCTCCCTGACTGGCGCTTGCAGCAGCGGCAGGTGCGTTGGCTTTTCTCCAGCGCAAGAACTGAACAAGAGTCCAGATGAAGGTCACCAAGAAGAGGATGAACTGCAGGGCAGATAATCCTGCAATAGCAGAAAACATGGCCAACGCGCCCTGGCTCATAACGATGTATCGCTTGTAGATGGTGCAGCTTCCCGAGTTCACAGCAGAGCCATCCGAGGTACAGGAGGCTGTCACGTCAACGGTGAAGGTAGCACGACGGGCGGCGCAGGCACCCATCGTTGCGAGCCAAAGGATGACAAGGAAGAGATCCAGAGCGAGGACGGCATAGGTATGGTAGAGGTTGCGGAGGGAAGAAATCTTTTCGGAGAGGACAGTGTAAAGTACGATGATCCACGTGAAGAGAGGCTGATTGGGTATGTCAGTCGATGGATCTGGGAACTACCTGCACGAGTAGTCATGGATGAGAGGAAGGACGTACAATAGCAACAGCGAGGCCGAGTTCATCCATGTACACCCAGTGAATGATAGCTGCTGACAAACCGAGTATGACAATGGCCAGGAAGAACTGTACGCCACGGATGGCAACCATCCACGCCGGGGTCATGATCATGGGCGGTGGTGGGCTGGTTGAAGCATGGTGGGTAAACTGCTGTGGTTGATGCTGGACCTGCGGTTGAGGCTGTGCTTGAGGCTGTTGATGTTGGGTATTCTCCATGGTGTCCAAGAGTTGATAGACAAGGTTGTATAGCGAGACGAGTTGTTCACGGTTTTTGTCGACTCGTCAGTGTTGGCAGCCCTGGCGTGAGTGAGATGGAGGTCTTGCCGAGCTCGTGGGGAATCAAAGACAGAAAGACCAAGAGCGCCATGGTGGATATGGGCATGATGCAGGTATACTTATGGAGTGAGACTCAGACAGAAAGTGACAAGGACGAGTCAAGGGAGGGGGCGGCCGACATCGTCGCCTACATCTCCCCCATCTCTCACACAGCCAACCAGAGCGCTCCCTCTTTCAGCCTTCATTCTCTTTTCTTGCTCTCTGGGCGTGCCACATGTACCTGATGGCGTCCATCGTGATGCAGGGTTCTTGTGATAAACCAACGTGCCGAGGAGAGACTTCAGTCTAGCGGCAGACTTGCATGAGGCTCCCATACAAGCCGTACAAAAAAAAGTAAGGGGCTGCGAAAGGCTTATTTCCCAGACGGGTGTATGGAAACGAAGAAAGCCTAATTGTGGATGCTTTTCAAGCTAGAAACGGCCGTGAGTAGCCATGAGTTGAGATGCTAGTGCGGTTGAGTGGTTGTTCAGTGGTTCAGCTCCTCTGCAAGTTTGACATAGTTTGCCTTGGCAGGGCTGCGGTAATGCGGGTGGTCGATAGGGATTTTGTGGTGAGTCCTGGGCGCGAACGTTTGTTCTCACTAGTGGTGGCCGGTTAGTCAGTTTGCTGTGAATCCGTGTCCGTAGGCAGATCACTAGACCATGTCTGGGGTTGAGTTGCCTGGCTTGAGGCTTGATCAAGGGTTCAGATGGGGGACATTAGAGATTCCGCGTTGACCGGGGGTAAGAGGGCGGAACGGGTGAGGTTGTGGGACCCAAGGCGTCCGGGCTAGACCGGTTCTGGGGACAAAAGTGACGCTCAAGCTGCTAGTGCGCTTCGTGGCGTCTTCAGCTGAGCGGGAGGGCGGAGTTTTGCGCAGTTTACATGCCTATTGCTCGTCTATCTCGTGGCCGTGAATGGCTGCTTCGTCAAGTTGCTCTCCACTATCTGAAATGGGGGGAAAAAGGCTCTGAGGAGTTGTCGCGATAGCAAAGACTCGGACTTTGGTGGCCGTTGGGCGTTGATAATGGTATTGAGCTAATATGCTAACATGTGGCCGTGCCCGAAAAGATAATTTTGGTTAGACTTGGCCAGGGTCCTGTCTGCCGGCTAATGATCATTGCCTTGTTGTATGAGTTTCATAACACTGATAGTAATTTGTAAAGGGCGCAGGTTGTCGTATGATGCTTGATATGACGGACTGACGATGCTACGCAGTGCAGAAGCAGCCTGGTGTAGGAACAACGAATGGCCAATCTTGCCAACTTCCCAGTAGAGCCGGAACCGGCATGAGACACGCGGAGATAAGTCATTAAAGTGCAAAAAGTGACTGAATTTTTCGTTGATCATACTCATCCAATGCAAACATACTCTGCTGTGCCGCACTCACCACGCCTCATCAAAACCCGTACATGCTGCATGCGCCGAAAAATACATTGCAAACCCACCCAATACGCCCAACTTTTTCGATATCATCCGCTCGCCAGTCATTACTTTTTTTTTTCTATTTGACTTTGGAGATCCCCGCCGATCGCTCAGCAGCATCCGCCCTGGTTGCTGTTCTCGGCTGCCTTCTTGGGGTCCACCTCGGTGCTGAAGGTTCCGTCGACCTTCTCATTGGGGCCGGCGATGAGGATCTTGATCACTTGACCCTCCTTGACCTTCTTGAAAGCCTCCTCGGCCTGCTTGAACTCGACAATGCCGGAAATAAGCTTCTTGACATTGACTCTGCCGTTGGCGACGAGGTCAATGGCGAGCTTGTAGTCACCAGGGCCGTAACGGAAGCTGCCGCGAGCAGTAACCTCCTTCAAGCACAGAGCCATGATGGGGAAGTTGATGTCGGACTTGCCCATGCCACCCTGAACGTAGGTGCCGCCCATTCTGACGACGTGCAAGCTGGTCTGGATAGAGGGCTCGGCGCCGCTGGCGTCGATGACACAGTCGGCTCCCGCGCCGAGGTCGCATTGCTTGATGAGGGCCTTGGCGTTCTCCTCGGCGGAAATGCGCTGGGAGAGGTAGGTGTGAGTAGAGGCGAGGTCTTTGGCGAAGTCAAGCTTGGACTGGACGATATCGACGCTGACGACCTTGGTAGCACCGAAAGACCTCGCTACGGCGGCACAGAGCAGACCAACAGGGCCGGCGCCCATGACGACGACGGAGGCGCCGGGTGTGATTTGGGCCTGCTTGGTGATGTGAACGGCAACGGCCAACGGCTCAATCAGAGCTCCCTCTTGCAGGGAGACGTTATCGGGCAGCTTGTAGCAGAAGTCGGAGGGCGCGGTCCAGAAACCGGCAAGGGTGCCATCGTAGGGGGGAGTCGCCGCGAAGCGCATATCGGGGCAGAGGTTGTAGAAACCAGCAAGACAGTCGCCGCAGCGACGGCAGGGGTAGCCTGGCTCAAGAGCGATGCGGTCGCCAACTACGAGGTTCTTTACGTTCTCGCCGACCTGGATAACGGTGCCGGCGGACTCGTGGCCGAGGACCATGGGGTCCTTGACGACAAAGTGGCCGATGGCGCCGTGCTCCCAGTAGTGGACATCGGATCCGCAGATACCAGTGTAGTTGACGGCGACGAGGACTTCGTGGGGGTCGGAGAGCTTGGGGATGGGGCGCTCGGCGAACTCGACGTCGTGGGGTTTGTTGAGGATGAAGGAGAGGTTCTAAGGGGTGTTAGTAGATGTCGATCAAGCTCCAGGCGCAAACAGGCCTCCGTGATGAGGGGAAACATACGCTTTGTCCCTCGGTGCCGGCCATGATGGATGGATTGCGGGGTTACGGGAAGAGGCAGGATTCGGTGAGGGATGGGGGTTTGGAGTTGGTCGGTGCTCGTTCCACCGAGAGAAGCACAAGATTAACTTTTGGCTGCGCGTTCGTCACAGAGTTTACAGTCTCCTAAACAAAAGGGGTATCGTTGGGGAATGGTAGAGACAATCAGTACGCTGGATGATGGAAGGCCGAGCGAGAAAAGTGAGAGTAGAAGTGATGCTCCGGGTATCGTGGACCGGCGTGCAATGGATTAAATAGCTATGACGGCAGTCCTTGGCCCGCAGAAACGTTGTGATGGGTCAGGATCAGGATTGGAGGGGTTGGAGGGATGTGGAGGGACGCGATCAGGATGGGGAATGCGACCACGTTACGGATGTTCTGGGAGGATGAATGAGCGAGCTGCGCTGTGCCTGTGCCGTGCCGTGGGTGAGAGACGACAAAGATCGCGCATCGTCTCAACTGGTAACCCACCGGTGTTCTGTGCGACTGACGGCTGCCCCTCATTGCGGCGCGTCTTAGACTCCTAGACTTCCCAATTCCAGCCTAGAGCTGGAGGGAAGCTCCACGTTCTTGTTTATCCCGTGTCATTACCCGTATTCATACGCCCTCATTCCCTGCTATGGCAGTCGAGACTCTTCCTTGACTGTGCTCCAGAAGGGCTATCGCCGGTGCGGGGTGGGGGTAAAAAGAAAAGAGAAGGAGAGGCTTGGTTTGGTGGTTTGGTTTGGTATGGTTGCCGGGGAGCTTCTCAACTTTTCCCACGTTGCTCCTCGTTTTCGTAAGAACCTGGGGTCTGGTTGTACGATGGACCAAAGCGTCTCTCTAACTGGTCTGAAAGAGCAGATCTCGTAGGGAGATGGTACCGGGGTTGTGGACTTGAGGAGGGCTTCCGGGAGAGCATCAGACTTGTTGACTGCTACCCGCTGGCTTCTTTCCAATCGACCAAAGTCAACAATGTTGAGTCCTCGGATGGCTTTCTCCCAAGCATCGAAATTCGCAGTGGAACAGTTGTCCCAAGGTGTCATAGGCGCGCAACGCAGCGGCATTGTACCCGACTCTAGCGTCCTGTGGCCTATTTATCCAGCACTTTACCCGCGCCAATGGGAACATGTGAATTGGATCCGATAGATGGGTTCTAGTGGGTTTAAGAAAAGACTCCAGAAAGATCTGGGGGCGCGGTGGGGTAGAGTGGGAGACATATTCCCGGTCTTGGGTCATGCTGCTTCACCTCTCGGCCGGTCGGAGACTTACCGCTCCTTTCACTTACCTCAATTATTTTGGAAATTGTTTTCTTATCACGTTGTCTGTGACCGAGCGTTTGTCAGGTGCTCGTGAAAACTTTTGCTGATGCCTCGTGTTGCTTTTCGGGTCCTCGTCATCCCCCTTTTCTGTCGAGGGAGTCCACAAGAGGGCTAGATTGCGACTCGGTCATCTTCCCCCCCCCCATCCAGCATTCTCCCATATAATACGAAGCCCTTCTTTTCTTGAACGTCGGGCACATCCGAACGTTGTGGTACGATTCTTGCAGACTCACTCCAGGCTCGTTCCAGGTCTGTTGTATCGCTCGTCTATCGTCGGCCCAATCGCAAAGGCTAGTATGTATGAATGTCGCCAGTATCGCAGTCATATATGTTTGGTGTCAGACAGTTCGGGGAATCTGTCGGGATTCGCGATGTAATGCGCGAAGACACCGATGCTGATTCGATGTCCGTTTCGCGTAGCATCTCTAAATGCATAGCAGAGCGGCACTCTGCAGCCTCTGCTTGAAAGGGAGTTACCTCGATATTTATGCTCCTGTCCGACCCGAACCTTCTAGGCTCTCGGAACACCCTTCCGTCCGGGAGCTGCCCATCTTGGACGCTTGCAGGGGAATCTGTCGATCTGGGGAAACGGCTTCCTGTCGAGTCCACAATCTTAAGCTCCGAGATCGCCCGAATCGGCCTCACGCACCACTGTCATGCCATGACACATGGGGCTCATGTGGGCTGTTGAAGATACCTGCATGGGCGCCCCGCGGAGCCTTTGTGCCACTCTGAGTACCGAATTTTGGGCATTCCTTTTTTGCACATATGTTTCCCCTATGTCATATCTATCAAGACCAAAGAAAATACCTCTCGATTTATCTTCACAAACTC